AATACGGTGCTCCGAAATAAGATTTTAAAGCCTAGGGAGGAGCGTCCTAGGGACGCGAGGCCAGGATTCCCTGTTTGTCGAGGAACCAGCTTGAATTCTTACGCCTTGGAGAGCGTCCATCTGCGCCAAAGAGGCTGCTCGACTGTGATTGGCGGGCAAGAAGACTGGCCCGGGAGCGCCCCTTTTTATTTTCTTATTTTTGTCGTGTGATCACACTATATGAGGCTGGCTTGTCTTTGCTCTTGTTGAGAATTGCATTCGACTTGGAAGACTTGCTCAGACCGGACGTCTTTCCCGCAAGTTGTCCGCATTTTGCTCTTGCCTGCCCAGTCATCGAAGAGTGTGGGAACTGGTCGTGCAATCGTCGGTCCGACGAGGGCTATCCGCCGCTGGGCGCAGCATTGAGTGCAACATCGAGTGTGCCATCGTTTCCTGGCAGGTGCTGCAAGTATGAGTGTCGAAATACCGATCGAGGACGAGCCCAAACCGCGCTTGGATCAACGGCGCAGCAGCAACGTGCGCAAGGTGTCTGGGGTAGACTTGTCGACACATCACTATGTTCCCTTCATCCCCAAAAGAAGACCATCTTCGGGCGGCTGCTGCAGGATCACAGCCAGCAGTGAACCCTTCTCAGACTACAAGCACATATTCCCCTACATCAGTCCCGGCGGAAAGACGATGCTGCTGACGGAGTATGACTTTCATAACAAGATGTGCCGTAAGTACAAGGGGCTCCTTGGAGACACCTACATTTACCCCATCCTGGGAACCAACCTGACCGTTGAGAAAGATATGCTACAAGAGTTGACCCGAGAAGACACCAAGTATTTGGAACTGCTAGTCCTTCCGGAGGTTGAGATTATGATACCGGGGGGCATTGATACGATACGCACTAATTTCAAGAGACTTGGTCTTTTCATTGTTGGCAAGCGGAACGACATATTTCCCGCTGGACTGAAAACGATAAAAAACAGAGAGATAACGGAGCTCGAAAGAAAACTGGAGGCACGATCATTTTTGAACAAGAATTTCGCTGTTCCGGATATTGGAGAATCTACAACCAGCGACCACGTAGTTGAACAGTTCGTCGTGGGGTTGGACATCCCGAACGTGAAGCGTCTGCGCGACGTGCTTAATATTGTTGAGACCGAAGAAGAATTCTTGGCTAAGATGGAAGCCCACGGCATCTTGCACACTAGCGTAGAGCAGCTGGACTTGCCTACTTACTACGAAAACGTAAGAAACAGAAAAAATCGCTTCATCGATACGGGTGACTGGAGGGAGTACAAGGATGATGAGCCTTTTGACTGGAGCGAATGGGATGCCTTCAGCCAACGCAGAGACACGCTGACAGGCCAGGATCTTGGCGTTAATCTCAACGACCTGGCAGCCAAGGCCAACGCAGTGTTGATATGCGACGTTCCAGACTGCGAGCAAACTGGGAAAGCAGCCAGAAATGAATCGCTCGGTGACGATGGCGTCCCGCCACTCGTCAGCGCCAAGACCGAAGGAGACGACGACGTCTTCATAAACCACGATGCGAATGACTCTCAATGAACTCTGAAGCAAGCAAGTCACCCTTTCCTGTGTCCACGTGCAGAGATGTGGAAACTGGCATGGTTGCGCTCGTGAACTGTACGCTTTGCTTCATAGAATCAAGCATAAGCTCATAATCTTAATTGTTTTATAAGTATGTATAATGCCACATGTCGCCCTGAACCTGATTCAGCATGTAGTCTGATGCGCTTACATGCGATTGATTCATAGCTTCATTCGAAACGCTGAATCCAGATTACGATCTCTCTTGTGTACCGGGGGGTTGTGCCTCGCGGTGACGCAATAAAGAATTATATTTTATTGCATCTCTTTGTACGTCGCTTTATTTACGCCACATATAGCTTACGCTAGACTTTTGTTTAGTGGAGCTTTCAGTGGGTGGCGTTTTTTGCACGACCAGCAGATTTTTTCAGAAATGAATTGAAACGACGTATACCGGACAATTTATAATTTATCAGTGCACGTTTTGCAGGGCGGCGAAATCGGCTGTGCTTTTTAGTTTAACCTAATGCTTATTTTTATCGGATACCGTGAAAAAAGGCACTTGGTCACAATTCTGCCGAAACCCACTTTCTCCTTTCCTCTGGCACATATCACTACAGAAGGTGCTACCTAATTTAGTCATATAAACAAAGCATAGATTTATTGAGCTTGCACATCTCGGCGTCAAAATATTACTCGATGTTTTTTGTTGGCTTTTTGTCTGTCTTTTTGCGGATTATTTTTAACCTACGCAACGAGATGAACAGACTGTTGCAGCCTCATCCGGATGATACTTGACGCTACAATTTTTCACGCTGCTTGCTGATGTAGGACGAAAGCGTTCCGCTTTGTTGGCGTGAGCCTCGCTAAACAAGACGTGGAGGGTAGCCAGAATGGTCTTTCCCCCGCGGAGGGAAGTGTAAACAGTCGCGGAAGCCTGGAGTCCTGCCAGGAATGTTGACCTCTTTGATCCTGTGGAGTTGGTTGAGGGGTTCGTCCGCCCGGAAGCTGTGGGGCCACACTGCCCCAAATGTACTCGGTGAACGCGCCAGCGATTCCACGGGCATAACGGGTCGACAATTAGTGCTTATTGAACACTTTGCCCTTAATTATGTCAACCGAATTTAGAGTGGAGATGCTTTTGAACAGTGCTGCTGTGCTCCAGAATCTTGCAAATGGGTTTAAAGAAGTCGGTCTGAGTTTTGGTGAAACACAGTGCTGTTTTATGGAGTATTTACCGGTACAGTGCAAAACTTAGCTGGCACCATGGAACTTTTTTTTACTCAAATGTTTATTTGCAATAGTCTGTTATGGTATCTTATATGGCAGAATAAAAACTATGTTTATTTTAATTTATATCACTTCAGGCCTGGGTGCTTTTCAGGTTGATGAATCATCTGAAGCCGAACCCACGCATGTTGGTTCCTTACCATTAAATATCATATTAACCACGCCGTCTGCCTTTATCTTGATTCTGTTTTAAGGCATTATGTGCGTTTCAGATATTTATTTTGCATAAGCTTCGTTCGATTCGATATGCATTAGAATAATGAACGCTATGCTTGTTTACCCGCACGCGACTGATCTTGTTTCTTCGCCAGGCGGTGAATGTGTCTTTGATACATGCCCGTAAAAAAAGTGTATCTGAATTAGAATATTCGCCATTATTAAATGTTACTTTGCTTTCACTACTTCGCAATAGCCATGATTTTAAAGCAGTGTTGTTAGGAACGGCGTTCCAAGGAACGACGTTCCTGCAAGGCGTTCCTGCAGCGTGTTCCTTCTAGGAAAAAGAGAGGAACGCCGCGGTTCCATTTTCCGTCGGTGGAACAGGGATGCGTTACGTTTTCGAGGGAACGGTAGGAGGAACGGCGTTTCTTTTTGCGATTTTAACCAAATTTTCTAGGCATTTATGCTTTTATTATCAACTACAGGGTGTCTCAAATAGCGACCAGGCTCCTTAAATCGATCGCGAAAATCGGTTTCTTAACCTATCGCGCTAAGATTTTGTGCAGCGTTGCCCATAGGTGGTGCATTGTTATTATAAAATTTTCAAAGAGCGAACTTACTTGATGAAAACGTTAAAAAAGAAAAATGTCTTGACTCCTATGGAAGCGCAGCGAAGCCACCGGTCTTCAAACAATAGAACGCCGTTTCACACTGGAGACAAGAGATGGCGCAAGCGGTCGCGACTCCAACTACTCCAACTGCCGCCAACGAACGAGCACACGGCGCCCAGAGCCGCCTACACATAGCAGACGATATTTCCGACTCAAAAGCGGCGCGAGCTTTTTCGATATCAGTTGCCAATGCACGATTTTATCATCCTTACTAATAGAACACATTGAATGGACACTATCTATTAAAAAAATGATTTGTCAAGTTATTTTGACTGTTTCTTTTTTTTTTTTTGGGGGGGGGGGGGGGGGAGGGTACTTATGTCGTCTGCTTTGCAGTTCCTTGTTACCGCGCCTGTTTTTGGTTCTGCGACTGTCGCCGCCTGCGGAACGCGCGCCGCTTTTGAGTCGTAAAGATCGTCTGCTAATGACGCCGGCTCTCGGCGCCGTATGCTCCTTCGTTGGCGGCAGTTTGCATCGTTGGCGTCACGACCGCTTGCGCCGTCTCTTGTCTCCCGTGCCAAACGGCGCCCTATTGTTTGAGGAACGGTGTCTTCGATGCGTTTCCATAGAAGTTAAGCCTTTTTTTTATTTTTTTAAAGTTTTTCCTCAGGTAAGTTCGCTCTTTGCAAATTTTAAAGAAAAAATGCACCGACGAGGTTCCCATTGGCCGCTGCGCGCCAGTTTCAACGACCGCTCACCTCATGGCGCTGCGTATCCGTTAGCGCGCCGTTAACACGGAGCGCTCCGTCCAAGGTCAGCGCGCTGCGGAGAGCGCGCACGCTGACCTCCGACGAAAAGTACGCAGCAGGCGAAATAAGGAAGCAGACAAGCGGCTTGCATGCTTTCGCATTCACAACTCATAAGAAGTGCTTAGGAGTACCTCGAGACTTGTTTTTATTAACGAATTATATGGCACAATATTTCATTAAGTACGCAAATGTAACGTTAAAATAACGATCAGTCTTAGAAATGTAACGGGAACACGTTCATTTTGAACCACTGGAACTTGAAAAGGGTAACTCGTTCCAAGATTAAAAAGGCACGAGAAACGAGCTTTCGTTCATGTTTTGGAGAAACCTCTATAACACTGTCCTCAAGGCATAAAATGCTGTGTGCATATCTTTTAGGAGCAACGCTGTTGCTTTTTGAGGCCTCAGTACATGGTTATCTGCGTGGTGCTTTGCCAGAACGCATGACCTTTCACATGCCGTTACGTTATAAACGGTATTTGCGGACCATTGTTTGTGACTTAAGGATCATGTTACGCTACTTAATTTTTTTTAATTTTACATGGTTGTGTGCATCACAATCAACATAAAGTTTCTCTGCTTCTCCCTATAGCCCATTGGAGGAATATTTGAGGCCATTTTGGACTATAAGCCAATCTCCAGCGACGACGAGGGGATTCCACTAAAAGAAGGTCAAGAAGTGGAAGTAATAGACACGTCAAAACCTCGGAAGTAAGTACAACACTTACAAGGGATAGTTTGCGGCTTGCCATTTCCGCTCTATAGCTGCTTCACAAATGAAGAATAAATCCAAAATGCCTTGTCCATTGCAGGGCGGGGCGTCAGTTTGCGTAATTTTATCGACCGGTAAAACAAAAGCCTTGAGATAGAAACATTCAAAGTGTGCGCGAACTTTTACACCTGCATGTTATCTAATATACACCCTAACAAATGCCTGCGCGTCTACTTAGCCGCAAAACACTCGAAGAGCCAGTCTCTGCGATCTTCAAAATCAGCTCAGCGACTGATGTGGCGGAACATCTGTTTAGACCTCAAAATGAAGTCTGCACTGTGGCAGTATGCAATGCAAAGCGTCATGCTTGCATTGCGTAATGCCACAGCGCAGACTTAATTTTGAGGTCTAAACAGATGTTCCGTCTCATCATTCGCTGAGCTGATTTCGTAGATCGAATAGATTGGCTCTTTGGGTGTTTTGTGGGTAAATAGTCGCGCAGGCATTTCTTTGGGTGTAGATCCTACGAACTCAATATACTATAAATTTTCCAAAATTAAAGACAGTGCGTTGAATTTGTCGATCCTAAAGCGCAATGGTTGTCATTTGGCAGTAAGAAGGAGAATATTTAGATTATTTCTTGATATGCATTACATCGATGTAAATTGCGTTGATAATCGAGTTTTTAGATTTTTCTTAAAGCGTTTTCCTACTTATCTAAGTAGATCAAAGCGAATTTCGAGTGGTACATGCATCTTTCTTATGGTGGCTGAATCGTAGTTGTGCATACTCTAGCTTTTAAAACGAAACGCGCCACAATATATCTACCGCCTTCAACGACATTGCACTGCTGAGTTTTAATGCTACCTAAGGTGTAGCCTTCGCGGTGGAGAACGTTACGATTTATTTATTCGTTTTGTTCACAGATGGCGCGTGCGGACTAGATCCAGTACCACAGGGATTACTCAGGAGGGTTGGGTTCCATCCTGCTACCTGGAAAAGAAAGAGGGTGCAGTTGTGGTTGAGCAGGTCAGCCCGAAAGATAAGGAGTCCCAAGTGAAGCGAGAGTAAGTATACAACAGAGGGGCAAGAGTTTGGTGTGCGTTTATCTGTGCGTTAACATCACGCCCGAAACTACCAAAAGGTGGTAGGAGTAACTCGGGAAAGAATCTAATATAAAACTGCACAATGTTGGCCAACCTTTTGTAAGTTTTCTTGTCCCACTACCAGAAACCACGGCCAACACTCGATATTACATAAAATATCCAGCCTCAATTTGAGGATCTGAATCCATGCCGCTCCTTCCCAACCACGCTCTTTAATCGTCGGTTAAAGCGTAAGAGTAGTTCTTAACAAGGTATAGTATTTGGCATGTCCGCCGTAAGTGCTCGTTGAACGATATTTTATTAACACTAAGTCGTAAAAAGAAGTTAGCTTCCTTACATTCTAGGTCACTTAGGAAAACGATGGCCACCAGTTCGATACTCTGCATGTTTCCTTATCAAGTTCTTCTCGACAATCAGTTGGAAACCTTTGCATTTGCATTGCAAGAAGAAGGGGTCACGAGTTTTGAGAAACGTTCAGAACCTGCGGGTTGACAACAAAGACTTAGCAACCCGAAATAGGACATTTACTTTTATGTGACGCTCGATTTGAATTAAAAGTGTAACATAAAACGCCTCTGCCCTTGACTCTGTTTTGTGTCTGTTTTCGTTTCAGGGCCGTCGTCAAGGAACTGGTGGAGACAGAAGAAGATTTCTCTCGAGATATGCAGCGTGTTGTAAATACCTACCTGAAGGAAATGGAGAGCCCTTCTATGCCCAAGGAGCTCAAAGAGCAGAAGGACGTTTTGTTTAGCAACTTCAAGGACATAAGTGACTTCCACAACACGTACGTGTTCATGGAGGCACTATAGGCGAGCTAATATCCTTGCATCGAATTCCCACAAGCTTTTAAAATTCTACGACTTAAATATACATGTTCTTCAGCGCAAACAGTGTTTGCTCTGACGACTGTCGGATCGTAGGTTGTTTGTAAGTTGCCACGGCAATTTGCGGAAATGTAAAACTTTTCCCTTATTGGCACGCGATGGGTCGTCTGAAGCAATTCAGCTTAAAAGTCGGTTTTCAGATCATAGCTCTAAAAGTAGCGCGGTCTTCAAATATGAACAGGAGGAGAGAGAGATTAACCTGCTGCATTGTCCCAGTTCGCATACATTTTCAAAATCAGCTACAAAAAGGCGGAAAGTTAGACCAGTTCGTACGTATTCGTCGTGAGTTAGCACTTGACGCAATTATTTCTTTTTAGTGCTGGTCTTTCAGCGCTTTCCAACGAATGCATAAAAACGTTATTTTAGTACTGCCATCAACATCCTGAGTGCAATCATTTTTAACAAATAAGAAAATTGGTTATTACGATTAGAGCGAAAGATAAAAGGAGAGAACGTGCGCCAGATTTTTCAGATGTTGCGCTTTGACCTAGCCATTTCCTTGCCTGCCCTCACTCGCGCAAGCCTCTTGAGTTTGTAACTGACTCGGCTTAGGTAGGATGAAGGAACGACACAAATAGTGTCGGACGTGTGCATTTCATTGCATTTCATTGTTGAAACAATATATCTGCGGCTGGTTGCTTGGAGGAATATATCATTATTGATATCTTGGAAGGTATGCTATTTATAAATTTATCAATAAAATGAAAACAATATTTTTGATTATTCCCCTTTTCAGAATATATTCGATCTCACTAAGGTTTGCAGCACAGAAAACCTTATCTCAATTCCGAATCTAATTAACATATATAGCACAAGTTTGGTTTTATTAAGACACAATTTGCAAAAAAAAAGATATTTGCTTTCATCCAGGGAGCTGATCAAGGGCGTCCAGTACAACGCAAGTGAGCCCGCCAAATTAGGAGTGACATTTCTTCGTCTGGTAAACCATGCTTGATTTTTCAAAGACTTCTCGAGTGTTAAAGTATCTTTAATTGTACCTCTACTATACTTGATCTACGTTTTCTTTTATTTTCAGGAGAGAGATTTTGATAAACACGTGAAGTACTGTGAGGATTTTCCACGCGCCCAAGATCTGTTAGCTTCTGGACCCATGAAAGAATACTTTGATGTAGGTAGCCATACGTTTTTACGTTTTTATTAACACGTTTTATGGGTTTGGATTTTGAAATATGCGCTCTTTCTCTCTAGGAATTCAGCAAAAGCATCAACGACGACAAATGTTTATCAGACCACTTGAAACTTCCTATCCAAAGAATTAATGACTACCAGCTTCTCCTCAAGGTGAGTACAATACAAAACCAAATATGTGCACAGATACTTAAGAAAGCAAAATCACAAGTACGCAAACCCACCCGGATCAGATGCATCAAACAAACAAACACTCACACACTATGTTTTTTAGTACTACGTTCGGGATTTCTTATGCACAACGCAAGTGCTATTTGGATTTTTTAAGAGGTATTTTTAGTTATATTTGTGTTTTTTATCTCACTATTTTTCCAACATGTCTTACTTCCATGCATACAAATGGATGTTTCTAAAGTTTCTAGAAAACTAAGAAACTGTAGCTAGCTTTAAAAAAATATGAACTGATACGAACGAGAATGTGCAAACCTTACATAATTATCAATTAAATATTAAAAAAAAACATCAAAATCTAGGAGCAGGCATTATTGGAGCGATGCGGTACGGTGAAAAATCAATCGTCTAAATCAGAGGTCTGTAAAACCCCGGCCCGTGGGCCAGATCCGTCCCGCAGAGGCCTTCCGACCGGCCTGAGGCTGGCAGCGGTCCTTCCAGTGATGCCCTGCCCGCGGCCCGCTGCTACCGGCGCGAAAATAAACGCGTGTAAAAAAAAAAAAAAAAAAAAAAAAAAAAAAAAAAAAAAAAGCGGCGTTGCGACGCGCACCATGCTCGCACACGAAGGTAGTAGAAAAAACAGTTTCTTTTTTTTTTTTTACTTTACTTTTTTACTGCAACTAATCCGCAATCCGGCCCCTTAGTCCAAAGGTTTGGTGATACCTTGTCTAAATTAGAGACTGTAGTGGAAATAAATCGCATACCAGTCGACCTGCACTCCACTTCCAGATGTCAGCAATCTTGAGCCAACCAACGCACACGCGTTAGTTGCCCTGCAGGAACGTAACAGAAAGGGAAAATTACTTTTTTCTTAAAATAATACCTTCTGTTCAGATAAAACAGAACAAAATTATTAGTGAAAATTTTCACTAAATCGCCTTTTATTGGTTTTTGTTTTTCAGTGAGAGACCATGTTTATTTTAGTTTGAATGGTGTTGCAAATAGCCTTACTTGGCGCAACTAGACGCAAGCGACTTTTATAAGGACACCGATCTGACTCATAACAGTTCTTTTATGCGTCATGTTTCCCTTTCAGGAACTCATCAAATACACGGCTCGTCTGCATGAGGATTTTTCAGATTTGCAAAGAGCCTTGGACTTTATGCAGGCTATTCCTCAGAGAGCCTCTGATCTACAGTACATAAATGCCATCGAAGGCTATCATGGAAACATCCACAACTGGGGTCGAGTTATGAAGCACGTACGTCACGGCTGATTTGAGCCTTCAACGCTAAAGACGTTTAAAGATAATCTGTGTTGCAAGTTTCAAGTTGTAGACTATAGCCCACGAATCCTTCTTCTTGTCTAAAATATTGATTTAAAGTTGCACCTGTAACATCAAGTAGATGCGTCATATATTGACATCTCCGTACAGGAGAATAGCCTCGCTAATTACACATAGCTACTTAAAAGCTATATTGGTATGTAAGCTTTCTATGTAAAGTCATACATCAGAATGCTTTAAAGTGTGTAAATTCTTTTATACGTTAAATGTTGAGTAGAAGGCATTTTTGTTCCATCGCCACATTGGAATTTACACTTATTAGTTTACCAGTGTGAGATCACGTACCATCGGAATATGTATCTTCTTGTGAATACAAATTCATTACAATCAAACAATAATGCTTTTAGCCTTTGAGGGTTCTTCTGTAGAGATGGGAGAACAAAAAAAAAAAGGCGTTTCGGATTGGGCGTGAAAGGGATTAAGTTTTCATATTTTATTACTTAAGACTTTGAAATTAGAAGAAAATCACAAACTAGTAAACTATGTCAGTTGTTTACCAGCTGTGAGTTGGGAGGTTTAGAAACACGCATTTGGTTATCCGGCATACGATTTGTGACGGGGTTTATAAATGTTATTACTTCCTCGATTGTGTCATCGAACACTGCGAAAGGTTTGCGGTAGGTGCCGGTATCTGCCAAATAATAGTCAGGGCCAATTGACATTGTTCTCGCACCGTAATGCGAGACAAGTCTAATCAAATAAGTGTTCCCATCATGTCGTCTGCAAGCGGTGGTTTCTTATTTAAGCCCGACATACATTAATGTTTTGCAAGACGATTAAAAAGCAACCAAACTTAGCGAAGCATCTCCGGAAAGCACAATACATTTGCATATAGTTAATCAGTACCAGATTGTGCTTTTTACAGAAATAGAAATCCACAAGTTTTTCTTAATAACCTACTAGCTGAGCAAGTATGAACCATTACAACAGCAGCTCCAGATTAATCCCGTCCTAGTCTGGGCTGCCTGCAGTGCGGAATCGCACCCTTCACCTATGACCACCTTGAAAAACATTGCGGCATTGGTGGAAAAAGAACTAGTGCATTATGTCGAGCGATTATTTATCATATTCCTCCGATTTAAGTGTTATATGCCTTAGTATGTGCAAAATTATCTGTTGTATTTGTTATGTGTGTCAGATATTTTTTGCCTTCCTCGATCTGATTAAAAACTAAATAAAATAAGCGAAGACGAATAAACGCCGCCATCAAAGCAGTGTAGGAGAGCTATACCCGTTTTAAAGAGGCCCTGCAACAACTTTCTGACTGGTTTTTAATGTGCACCGAACTTGAGCGCACTGAACGTAGTGACTTAGCGAAACTTTTCTTTTCTCGAATTTCGCTTTATTTTAAAAGTTATAGACAAATTAAGATTACAAAAACAAGCAACAAATAACCTCCTTCATGACGTCCCTGGTTTTGGCTTGGGTGGCCGTGAACTAGAGGAGGGGTAGTGAGCTCAGCGAGCGCTCACGGCTGCCAGACTCCGTGTCGACTGCTCAAGAGGGCGCCACTAAAGCATGCGCTGGATAGGCTGGATAAAGCGGGAGGCCAGGGCGGCTCGCATTGCATTTGCTGCGCGACTAAACACTAATTCGGCATGACACTTCATTGGCCACAAACGATAGTTCAGAACGGGAGCCACTTCGTGCTGCCAATCCACCAAACGGCCAAACCGCAAGCCGAACCTGCTCACCGAAGGCTTTCGGAACGCTCGGAACCGGTCCATATGACCGCAGCGCCGCCGCGTATATCCAGGACCTTTCTACGCTCGCCGCTTCACAGCAATCCGTTGCGCGCGTCGGCACCCCTTTCTAGTATGCGCCAGCTTTTCCACAGCTTGGTGGCGGGTACGTCGACGGGTCATTTCTTGCTTCCGTACTTTATAAACTGCATTTGTTCCTTTTCTGATCTACAAAACTGAACAAAAACTACTTTTATAAATAATTGAAACGGTTCACGCCACTTATATTTGGTATTTTGACTTAAAAAAAAAGCTTTTAGTGGCTCTCACCAGTCGTAAGGCAGGAGCTGGCCAGGACTGACAACGTCACGATGTCGTCATATGCCGCGCGCGTTCGGTACCACGGGGAGCCCCCGTAAGTGGAGGAGGCTCCCGCGTCGTCCGGTTAAATTATGACTCACTGATATTTAGTTACTCTCTCCGTGCCCCCGAACCACAAGAAATGTGCAAACCGCAAAGAGGTCGACGCTTAAATAGTATTGCAGGGCCCCTTTAAAAACGGTATATCGGCACAACTGAATAATGCCAGGATTCTACAGTCCGTTGCAACCTAAGAACGAAGGGCGAGGGTAAGACGGGCCGGGGAGGAGGAAGCAGACGGAACGCTGGAGAAGAGAGGGGGAAACCTCCTTCTCTCTTTAGCGTTCCGTCTGCTTCCTCCTCCCCGGCCCATCTTACCCTCGCCCTTCGTTCTTAGGTTGCAACGGACTATAGTCATTATTTATAGGGCACACATATCAACGTCTTAATGTTTGTTTTGCATTAGTAAACCTTTCACACTCGACTACACTAATGTCAGTGTATTGTTTTGGAAGCATTCCAATTAAATAATCTATAATGTAGGTCGATAGTAGTAAAGTGAGTTGAACTGTTGTAGTTCGATCTTGCACTAAATAGGCTACGAACGCGTCAGGAACATTCAATTGAAAATACAATTTGCACGCAGATTAAGCACTCGACTGTAATAAATGCTATTAAGTTTGCATGAACGACTGCCAGAGCTTTGCTAAACGCAATTTAAACGTAACATCACAACCTGTTTCAGGAATTGCACGCTTCTGCCAATGCTTATGTCACATAGATAGGCAATGTAATAAATGCAGAAGTGCTCATAACTACAAAGAGGTCCATCTTTCAGAAATATTTGATGCATAACATGGAAGTAGCTAGACATGGTATGACTGATCTACTGCGATTAATTTAATTTCAAACGAGAACTTTCTTGTCAAAGTTGATTAGTTACTTCTTCCCAATACCGACAACAACGCTATTTATCTTAAATCAGTATTCCCAACAAATGCATAAAGAAGTAAATTTCAGCTTCTCCGTTTCAAGGCACCTTCTTATAATTCTTGAACAGAGTAAAAAAGAGTCTTTATTTTATTGACGTATCCTGGGTTTAATTTTTACTGCAGTAAATAATACAGACATATACCGGTATTTTGGGTGAAATCTGTTTAGTGTATCCCAAATATATGTGGCTGCATCTGTTGTGTCTGCTTTGGTACAGGGCTGGTTCGATATTATCGACGCTAATAACCGTGAACAGCTGCGCTATCTCTTCCTCTTCAAAGGGAGATTGTGCATAACTGAAGTGAAGAAAGTTAGAGCCAACAGAAATATCTACATTGTCAAGGGCATAATCAAGGTGAGGCCATATTGCGAACGGAATGTCGTTTGTAGGCCTATCGCCCCCTCCCGGTTCGCGTACCTTTGTACCTGCACACACTCCTGGTTTTGTACTTAAGGAAGGAGATGAAACAAGATCTAGGTAATGCATGATTGTCATGTATCTGAAAAGCAAGTAGCATATACGTTGTAGCACTACAAGCACATGATTTATTTTTAGCTTTGTCGGAATATTATATGTTTAAAAATAAAAGACAAAATAAGTATAACACACTGCAATCTCTCGGCATAAAACAGTGTTTAATTTGCAGGTTAGTTTTTTTTTTTTTTTTTTGTCCTTCATTGCTTTTTTTTTTTTTAACATTCTTATTAAAAAGAGTGCTTTTCGTATTCGCCTTCTTTTTTTTTTTTAATTAATATTTCTAACAAAACAATGTCTAGCTCTTGCTCGCTTGTTTCTTTCTTAGTTTGGGGACAGATGATTTCATAAAAGTAAACATTTCTGCGAGATTAGTTAGAGCTGTTTGATATTTCAAAGGTGACACTATTTGAGAAGTTTTCGTTTGAAACTGGTTTTCAGTTTAATAATGTTTCTGACAATGCTTTTTCCTGCCAATCTAGCTTGTAGCGGCTTGAGCTTACATTCATATGATTATGTGCATGATTGGCATGTGCCTGCTGAAAATGCATCTCTGCCCTTCTCCTCGGCCATTTTGTTGCCCGTAGAGAGGGTGAACTGCTTTGTAATGTAACCTTTACTTAAGACAACATAAGCACTGGCAATGTAATAATCAACATTGCCAACATCCCTTCGTTCCAAATGCGCGCACTGGGTCCCTTTAGACGAGCATTTCAACGGCTGTCCACACCATAAAACGGGACCTTTCCGCCTCGCGTGCAAGTCTTTTATGCCGGATAATATATGACTTTTTTTTTTATTCATCTAGTCGTTTACAAACGCTTTTTCACGTCCAAGGTAGTGCGGAACATTTGTTTGCCCCTATAAACAGTTATGGCGAAGGTCACCGGACTAGCAGAGTGATGGATACTCTATTATCATTTTCAAGTTTGCCAGGTGTGACTTAAAAATGTTATATGTTATATTCCTTAGATAAAAAAAGATATATATTGCACGACGATCGCACGACGTGGTGCGTTTCGACAGCGGTACCATGGTCGTGATGCTTTTTCCCGCCAAATTTTGCGGTAAAACTGAATTGGTGCATAGGTCACGTGACGTAAGTTTTCCCGCTAAATTTAGGGAGGAAACTGTTCCGTTTACGCCCACGCTGTCCAAAAGTGGGCCACTAGCAGCTGCCGTTGTAAAACGTGAACACGGCGTGAATGAATCACGCGTGTCAGTCTGGACAGACCTTGATGCGTCCGTCTAAACAGACAATTGCAAAATAGCTCGAAGTCGGAATGTTTTGTGTTTGTATGATTTTTTTTCTTTAATATATTTTCACGAGACCCAAATGGGAAGGAAAGTAAACTATTGCTGCTTAACTCACAAAAGAGCCCTGCGCTCTCTAATTGTTCTTTTAG